CGTTTTGGAAGCCATTAAGAAAAAAATTCTCTTCTTGTTTTATCCTGTTCATTTTGTGTTGAAATACTAAAATAATAATAATACATATTTAGGTGTAATTTTGGGGGGCTGGGAACCAATTAATTGGTTTTCCATTATTTCTTATGGGAAAAATTCGATCAGAACTCGAACTTTTTAGGATTCGGATTAAGTTCCAGAACCGAGGTACCACTGTATACAGTACAGTTAGTGTTAAAGTAGCATCTGATTTTTTTAAGCATAAGGGGCTGGAAGAGAGAATATCCCAGGCACTATTGTGTCCCTCTGTGTACAACGTCTTCAAAATTTAATGAAATGGCATGAAATGATACTGATTGTCTGGCACTTCACACCACCCTGGAACACCAGGACAAAATAAAAACCTATTCAAGGATGTTATTCATTGACTTCAGCTCAGCTATTAATACAAATGTGCTGGGCAGGTACATTAGAAATCTCCGGGGACTGGCTATCAGTAACACCATCTCCAACTGGGTCCTGGGGTGTATGTAGAACAAGTCCTAAATGTGTGCGCACAAATCGCAAGTACACAACAGCAAATTGATATTTATCACTCTTGAAAGAAATACAAACAAACAATTAATGTTTGGCAAATTTGCCAGTGGCCTGTCAAAAAAGAGAAGGACCCAGCTGGGGAACAGGGGACACACACAATTAATGCTGATTTCACAGGTGAAATATCCCTAACAGGAATCAATCCAGATGGTGACACTGGCAGGGCAGCTCACCACCCAAAGATGATGGCAGGCTCTCAGAAACTGGTTTTTCCTCCCCAAATCTCCAAATACTTTGCATCAGTTCTGAGCATGTAAATATTTTCATGCTTTTATTTATGCTTTTCATACTGTCATTTTTAAGGCAATCATGTTCACTGCACAGAAGTCACGTAAACATTCTTTTTAAAGTCATATATGGAGTATTATAGAACTTGAAATGTTAAATTATTGATATAATAATAATAATAATGAAATATTAAGTTATAAAGGTTATCTTTAGAAACTCAAGCAAATTTAAGAGCCATAACAAAAAAACAAACCTATTTTTTCAAAGAATAAAGTCAGGTTAATATATTTTTATGAAAATGGTTCATCTCACTCCAATTCAGTTCACTAGGTGCATTTACATATTTTTGTTTCATACTATGGATATAATAAATAATAATAATCATTTAATAAAGACCTATGAACTAAAAGCATCATATAATTATTATGTTAAAAGCTAAATTGCATAATAATTATAAATACAACAAAAATTCAGACTATGTCAGAAAACTAACAACTAATTTTTTGTGACAGAAATAAAACAAGCTTATTCTTTCAAAGAATAGCAGAAAGAAATATTTTTATATAAAGGTTCAACTCCATTATGTGCATCTATGTATTTTTTTGACATTTTGTACCACTGAAAGAGATAATAACCAAATCCCAACAGCAGTATTGTGTGAATTGTCACGATTGGTATTTGTATTTGCAAAAACATGTAAATATTTTCAGCATTTACATTTTTCATGCTGTCATACCGCGAGAAGATGCATGTCCACCCCAGGACATAAGGCTGGTATATACTCGAACCCTGGTCTCAAAGGTGTAAAGCAACAGTGCTAACCCAGCAGAGTTTATAACAAATGCAAGATCTCCATCTAGTGGGCATTTTCAAAACTTCTTTAAATATCAGATTTAACAGATTGTAATGTAAATTAGGCCCAAATAATAATTATTTGTATTTTTTATGATAATTATAAATACAACAAAATGCAACAAATGTCCATACAATGTCTGAAAACTAACAACTACATTTTTGTGACCGACATAAAACAAAGTTATTTTTTCAGTGAATATGAGGACGAAATGGTTTTTACATTAAAGTTTAACTGCCATTCAGTTTATTATGTGCATCTATGTATTTTTTGTCATTTTGTACCACGGAAAGAAATCAAACAAATGCCAACAGCAACACTATTGTGAGAATTGTGATGATTGATTATATTTGCAAAACATGTAAATATTTTCAACATTTACATTTTTCATGCTGTCATATTCAAGGTGATCTTTTTCACTGCATATGCGGTGTATGTGAGTCTTCCGTCACACCATCATTACATGCACAGATAAAATATATGAAGCATTTTACAACTTGAAATGTTATGTTTAGAAAGTGAAGCAAATGTAATAGTTTTTCTAGTATTAAAATTGGTGGATTTAAAATTGGATTTTGTTTTTCAAAAGGTTGTGTCAGAAGTGGGATTCGAACCCACGCCTCCAGTCGGAGACCAGAACACCCATTTCTATGGAAGGTATTGAACCTTGAGTCTGGCGCCTTAGACCGCTCGGCCATCCTGACGATGCGTTACTAACGCCGAAATTTTACATTACAATTCATCTTTTCCATTAAAAAAAATTGTAATTATTTGTATCAGTATTATTGTCATTCTTTAGTAGTTTATTTCAGAAATAATATTATTGTGTTTTGACTTATGAAAACTGTTTTGCTTTTAAATGATTGGATTTTCGACAAGGCAGAAATTTCTGCGTTAAAGTTAACGACTCAGCTAAACACAAATGACTGAAACTCATTTTATCAACTAAATAGCGGGGCCGAGCACAACGATACCAGATATTTGTCCATTATGCAGCTATTTCTTGCACAGCAGACATACGTGTAGGCTTATCCTTCGTCAGAAAAACACATGTTTGAAAGCAAATGGGGAAGCAAATTGCCACGGTAGTGTGCTAACTGGCAAGCATTCTGCAAAGGTGGTTCAAACAGCTGAACAACGCCTCTGTGAAATAATACTTACTGATGTCGTCATTTATACAGTGAGCGAGGATAGTGTGCTGGCCTACTACTCAGAATAGCAAACAACATAGGTTTAAAACGAAGCCAAAACCTTAAAGTTGCAAAGTACTTTGCACTCGTTACACAAGTGTAGTGCAGCCAAGGGGGCGTTCTGCTGAGTCGGACTCGGTAAATAATAACCCAGGGCAGGTGACACTGCCGCACGGCCACCGGGTGGTAGCGCCTAGTGAAGGCGCTCCGCTGCTTTCGGGCTGAGCGCAAAAGAGGCACGATTTTACAGCGGCCGCAATTCGCCGGCTATTATATATAGCTGGTGTGCAGGGAGACGAAGTGCAGACAGGTGCCTGGTTATCTTAAAAGTTATTTTCTTCTGCAAAGTTGCGGACACGCTGAATTTGAAAAATATTTAGCTAGATACATAATAATATTTCCGTTTCTGTAACTACTAATTGTAAAAAAATAATATATTTAGAAGTGGTAAAGTAAAAGTAGACATTTTAAGTATTTGTAATTTTTATAATGAAAAGGTTTTCACCAAAGCCTCTTCATAATATTGCTAAACATGCTTCAAAGTCTTCGGTGACTGTCGTGGAGCAAGTTGGTATGATCTCCCAGAAGAGCCCGGAGACCAAAGCCTTCACCAGCTTCGCACCAGTCGGCGAGGAGCCCCAGGAGAGCGACGTGCGCAACGCGCACCAGCAGGACCAAGCGGTTAGCGGCACCTCACATTTATACTCGAGATTTTACATACTCAGTTAAACGAATTCATTTAATACCTTGTATACAGAAAAAAATCTGTCATAAGGCTGAAAATGTAGTCTGATTTTTACGTTTTCCCGAAATTTTGGAAATGTAAAGCAGGTGGAGCAGATGGAAAGAAAACTTACACAGAATATCCTCTTGTGTACGCGTATTATCCATGTGTTTGATTTATGGTTATTGTGCAGATATCGTTACAGTTTTTTGTAATTAATCGTACCATTGAAGGACCATCTATGCATGCGTGTGTATATTATCCATTATAGGATGAAGCGCTTATTAAATTGTATTTAAAACTCTGTAAATGAAAGCATTATACATGAAATATAGATTAATCGGGTGCACATTAACCAGTCCTAAGACTGTCCCGATAAGTTCCTCTACTGTTTTCGGCGGGGGTCAATCGCCTTTATGTAAATAACATACTTATTTTAATAGTGCGATGGATAACCTGCTATATAACGCGGTTTCCCACTTAGTTTAATTAATTCTGTTATTATGTTCTCAAAACCCAGGTTAAGGTGTTGAAACAGCAGGAGGTACAGACAGCTCATATTTCGACATATGTCTCTCCAGTGTTTACAGAATGTGTCAATGAAACGGTGCATGCCTTGATTTTGAACCTGGGTATGTTTGCCTCAGGAAGTTGTACTTATAGGGCTGTTGAGTACTGTTCTGACTTTCTGAGAATTACCCCCCTGACACACACGCCCACCATCAGAGTCACCTGCAGGGCATTCTGTAAGCATTTAGTTACAGATGTAGCTGATTAGTACTATCAGTGGCTACTGCTTCTGTCTCTTATCTGCTGTCCCTCTCTTTTCTTTTTCCATTCCTTTCTCTTTTGCAGCTAAATGTTGCTCTCCCGAGGGTTCGGCCTCCACACCCACTTGGTTATGAGAACTTTGCTTATGACGCTGGCAGCCAGAGAGAGGTGTACCCACAGGCCACCTGTACTGTCCATTGCACCATCCGCATCATGGGCACCAGGGACCCGACCTGCTCCCGCATCCTGGAGACCCGGCTCAGCTGCCTGCCAGGCTTGGTGGCTGCCCAGGTGAATTTTGAAGCTGGTCGTGCTTGGGTAGAGTTTGACCCTATAGCTCTTACCATCAAGGAAATCTGCCATGAAATCCAACAAATGGGTTTTGGCGCCACAGAGGAAGAGGAGGAGGAGGAAGAAGTGGGCCTGGTAAAAATCTTGGTGGGGGGCATGACGTGCACATCCTGCGTGAGCACCATCGAGGGCAGGCTGGGCCAGCAGCTGGGTGTACGAGGTGTCAGTGTGTCTCTGAGTAACGGGGAGGCCGTAGTGGCCTTTTCTCGCACCCTGCTCCTTCCCGAGCATCTGAGGAGCCTAATTGAAGAGATGGGCTTCTCTGCCAGCCTGGCCAGCAAGGAGGCAGACCAAGGCGCAGGGGAGAGGAAGCCCTCTCTGTCTTCCCTCAGAACCTTCAGCCAACAGCCCTGGTCAGCAGTCACCATTGCTATTACAGGCATGACTTGTGGCTCATGCGTCCGCTCCATAGAGCAGAACCTGAGTCAGAGGGCAGGTGTGAACTGTGTGCGGGTGTCTCTGGCCGAGGAGAAGGGAACTGTGCTGTACGACCACGACCTCACCAGCCCAGCAGAGCTCAGGGCTGCCATTGAGGACATGGGTTTCCATGCATCACTGACAGGTAAATCCTGCACAGGGGTGTTTAAGAAAGGGTTGCCATAGTAACTGCACATGGGTCATTCAATACTTTGACATAAAGAATCGTTAAAGATCTCAGGTGGCAGGTTCTAATGGAACTTAGGAGCCAAGAAAGGGATTTAACCCAAGAGGATTATGCTGATTTTCCTTTTTCTTTGACAATTCCACCCTCTGTTAGCAGCTGAGGTGTTGGGTGATTATTGCGATCTCCATCTATACCTGCATCTTGAGCTAATGTTATGCGTTTTATCCACTTGTTCTTCAGTTACTGTTACATTGAAATATGTAGCTGTTGCCTACAGTTGTATACCCTGTACTTCAGCAAAACATATACTTCAGCCTGTGATGGATAATAGTTATTAATAATAACAATAGCAGTAATAACAATAATAATAATAAGAAGCCTGTTTCAGGAAATTATCAGCCTGTAACATGCATGTACAGCTAATCTCTGTAAGTAGCATTGGCCAAACCGTAGAACAAAAGTAACCCTAGAAACGTCAAGCAGATTTTCTTCACCAATATGCTTCCACAGAACCAAGCTGTCCAGCAGGTAGACAGAAGCAGCAGGTGAGCTCAGGGGAAGACGCTGGAGCACATGGCAGCAGTTCCCAGGCCTGCCCCTCCCCCAGCGAGACATTCCAGCACGCAACGGTGAACTCCAGCCCTGCTCGACAGGAAGCGGGAACACAGAAGTGCTTCTTTCGAGTTACGGGCATGACCTGCGCTTCCTGCGTGGCAAACATAGAGCGGAACCTGCAGAAACAGACAGGTGTGTGACATCATCAGAAGCAGCCTCGATCAATATTAAGGGAATAGGCTGGTGTGTAATCCAGAGGCATACAGATCTGGACGAGGGTCTGGAAGGTCATCAGATTGAATTCTATATCCAGAAGATTAGTCATGTGACCTTGGGATAGCCCTGAATGGCACTGAATGGCAACGGTCATGAACACTCTCCTACCATAGAATCCCCTGCTGGCTGAGTTTGCTCTCTGATCCCACCTGTATGTATGCATGCGTGTCTCAGTCTCTCAGGCAGAGCCACATGGAATCTGCAAACAGTACCCACATTCCTCATAACTGAAGAGTATAACTGTTTTGTTCAATCTGCAACAGTGATGTGCCATGTTGTAGTTAAGCAAACAATAAGAAATATCTAAAGAAAAGGTGCTTTTTGAATAAAAACTACAGTTAGAATTCACACAATGTAGGTGAGCACCTATCAAAATAATGACATATTCGGCTGGGTGTAGAAAATGTATGGATGGATGGACGGAAAATGAGAATAATTCTAGTAGCAGCAGATGTCCTCGTGGACCTTTTATCCAAAGTTATGTACAGTTGAGAATTTAGGGTCAGACAGTCCCTGGGGTAATTGGGGTTAGCAGCCTTTCTGAAGTTAGGGGTTAGCAGCACCCTTCTCATCATTGGCACGGTGTTCAAACCCACTGAGCTGCACGAAGATCTGAATAACTGTATCAGGACATGTTGTTGTCATTGTCACAGTTAGGAGCAGCAGTTACAGGAATAGGTGTCAATAAAAGAAAAACTGTATGGGATTCAGTCTCCCTGTGTCCTGACTGTGTGTTTTTGTTTTCAGGGGTAGTCTCTGTGCTTGTGGCCCTGATGGCAGGCCAGGCTGAGGTCAGGTATGACCCACAGGTCCTGAACACAGCCGAAATCGCACAGTTCATTCGGGCCTTGGGCTTCGGTGCTGAGCTCATAAAGGATGCCGCTGTCACAGATGGGAAGCTGGACCTCGTGGTGAGTCTGCACTGCACAGCTTCGCTGCACAGCTTCAGCTGTGTTTTTCTACTACCTGTTTGAATCAGTCTGACTGTGTTCCGCTTTTTATGCCTGATCCCTGATCTAGAAGCCCCTTCTTAGTCATTAGGAGCTGCATGATCCAGTCAGTCTAAGGGTCCATCACTAAGGACATGACTGCAACATGTGCAGGTGCAGGTACTCCCAGGTTGACAGCTGGGTCTAGCCATTCACTTTAATGAAAAGAAATATTTTTTATAATACAACATTACGTTGAATGTGACTTGTTTTGTCTTGAAAAATATTAGAATTATGCATTAATAGTAATAATGCATAACAAACTAGACTTCTACTCACTTTATTCTGCCGTTGTGTAACAGTCCCTCTGCTTAACTATTCAGCAGAGGTCATTATGACTGAATGTAAGAGCCCCCTCTAGTGGTGCTCTTTAGGTTGCACCCCTCAGTCTTGGCTGTATTATTATTATCACCATACTGTAAATATCTGAGCCTGTTGAAGAAAATGTGCGCTAATCAGCTTCCCTCAGGCCCACCCAGATTTAACCCAAACCCACCCATCAGCCACTTCCTGAATCCACCATTGTGTTAAAGTCACAGGTACATGTGAGTAGATGATGTCATTTGTAGGGTGGGTACAAGGCGCATGGGAAGGACTGAAGGTGAAGGTCCAGTAGCAGGTGTGCCTATCCATAAAAAAGCCCCATCACCTATGGATAAGTTGAAAGTTCAAGCACACACAAGGGTCATGAGGACCACAACTATTACCTGAACTAAGTCTGTCCATCACTGGGGATCATTTCGCCCTCACTGTGTAGCACAGACATTCAAATATTGTTTGATTACTGCTCTCCGCAGGTCACAGGGATGACCTGCACATCATGCGTCCACAGCATCGAGGCCCGGCTGGCTAGCACAAAGGGGGTTTTAGAGGCTTCTGTTGCCCTGGCAACCAGCAAAGCACACATCAAGTTTGACCCCGAGGTAGTGGGACCACGGGATATCATCAGGATTATTGAGGTGGGACATCCAGATTTGGGACAATGACTTTGGGTTACTAAATCCTTGAAGAATAGGATCTGTGCTGAAGGGGTACAGGTTCAGAATGACCTGTTTATTTACGAACAATGTCTACAAGCAGGGGTACTGGGTAAGAATTGGTATTCAAATAACCACAAGCAGCATTAGTACTGGGTTCCGTCTTCGTCAAAGCCAGAGACACGCAAAATGAGACAGAAAAATGAGGATGAGTCACCCAAAGTAGTGATGGGGTGATTTGGTGATCACATGCTATCAGCAACCCCCTAGTTTATTGCTTCTCGAGCCGGTCCTTGGGGACTCCCCAGACGATCGACGTTTTTGCTCCCTGTCAGATCCCTGTCTACTTTTTTGTGTCCTTCCAGTTCCCGGCAGGACCGGCTTGAGAAACACTGCTTTAGTTTAACTTTGTAGGAATGGATAAAGTATCCATTGAGATATGGGTTAAAGCAGTTGGTGAAAAACGGCTCAAGATACTTTCACAGTAACCAGTGGCTTCTTGTTCTCCCAGGGTTTGGGTTTCAGTGCTGCTCTCATGGAGAGAGAGGGGATCAGTAGCCGCCTAGACCACCAAGAAGAGATTCGAGAGCAAGTATCCTGCTTGCCTGTTCTCAGTGGGCTTCAGTGGGCAACAGTTAAACCTTAAACTAAACTTTGTGCTTTGGTACTGCATCTGGAAACAGATCTGGAAAATATTCCTTGTTAAAGTACTCAATATTCCAAAGCTGCTTAAATAGCTTTGTACTATGCTTGTCTCTGATCATCTGTGCACTTTCATACTCCATGTTGATGTTAGATCTCTATATCTCCATGTCCCCTCTACCGGGTCCAGGTGGAGGAACTCATTCCTGTTCAGCCTGGTGTTCGGGCTTCCAGTAATGGGCTTGATGATCTACATGATGGTGATGGACAGCCAGCACCAGGGGGGGGGGTCCATGCACCAGGGCCAGAACGTGCTGCCCGGCCTGTCCATCCTCAACCTGGCCTTCTTCCTGCTCTGCACCCCAGTTCAGGTACAGGCACAGGGAACCTGGAGGCACCTGAAGGCGAATGGCACTGAGTGGCAATGGTCATGAACACTCTCCTACCATAGAATCCCCTGCTGCTTTCTGAAGCGGCAGGGGATTCATGCTTGGCTCATCAGTTGGAGACATTTGAGGGTCTTTTGCATGTTGCAAATCAGGTAACTTTTCCGTAAACCTTGTTCACATGATGTGAATGAGGCAGACCTGCTCACATTCTTCTCGGCCATGAACTATAACAGGACAGGAGTGTGTGTACATAGCCTTACATGCTCACCCTGTTTGCTGCATATGCAGGTTTGTGTTTGTCTCTTCCCTTTATTTCTGAAAGGGTCCAATTTATGTTATACACCCTTTTATGTCCCGCTCTCACATCATTGCCCCAGAAGTAAATTCTCTGGCCTCCCTCCCTGAGGAGCTTAAACCAAACTAGGTGACCGTAGCTCAGTTCAGGATCTCTTCATATCTGAGTTCTGCTGTGCAACCATCACAAGCTAATTTCTTCAGAACAGATGAAAGAGTTTTAGTTACAAAAAGCATAAGCAGTAGTGTGTGTGTAATTTGCAGAGTGCAGGAATATTCTCATAGTCTTTCATCAGTCTTATTTCTAACTGAACATGTTTTAACATTTAAGATTTTAATTTAAACAGTGCTTTAAAAATTGTCAAATATTGATTAAAGTTCTAAGTTTCAATTTAATACATTATTTAACCTTTTATATATAATAATCACCTAAAATTCTTAAATGAGTTTGCAATCACATAATTAATTATAAAATAATATAAATTAAAGAATAATTGGTAGCAGTTTACTTCCCTTTAGCCTCTCAACGTTCACCCTACTCTGCCTCTCAGTCTATACTTTGTACTGTTATGTCTACATCCATTCTTGATAACAGAACTGTAATTTAAGCACAAAAATTCTTTAAAACCATGCCAAATGATTAAATTGCTGTGGAAAGTGTTCCCCTGTAATTACGTGTGGGGGTGTGTTCCAGGCTCGTAGGTGTTTGCTGGTACCAGCTTGTGAACATTTCAGAGACTGATTGGGATTTGTGTCAATACATGAGCCTCCAGAGAACTGGGACCCGAAGGTTCCTTGATGTTACCCACACAGGCCAGTTCCTGCTCCCTGCTGGGATTAAAGCTGCCCCCAAACCCCCAAAACGTGGGTTCTGTCCTTCCCGTATTAAAAAGGCACCAGTGATTTAAGCAAATCTGTAAAATGGGTAGAGCATAAGTAAGCATGGCTTCTGGCTTGTTACAGTACTAGGTTAGCACTATGCATTAGGTGGGGGTGCAGAATTATTCCATCAGGGACGCAGAGCCATAGTCACCTACTCCCGATAAAATTTTTTGATTGGTAGATTTTGGTGGCTATATACAGTAGGTTCTCCTTGGTAGATTGTGCTATATTGTATTGTAACGGTAATGCTGCAGCTTATATTTAAGTTTGATTGTTGATCAAGTGAAATCCAATTTTTATTAACATCTGTGAGGAGATTTCAATGCTAAAACCAGTTTGTTTGAGTGGAGAGATCTGGTAGATGTTGTTCCTGATTATTGTCGACGTCACAAGGTCTTCCTTCGGTCACTGCCTGCTAACAAACCTGCACGTCACTGCATTTTCTTCAGACACCCACCATTGTTTTTCTCGCTGTCTTTCAGATCTTTGGGGGGCGCTACTTCTATATCCAAGCCTACAAATCTCTAAAACACGGGGTAGCCAATATGGACGTGCTGATCGTGCTGGCCACCTCCATAGCATACGCTTACTCCTGCGTCATGCTCTTGGTGGCCATGGCCGAGCGAGCGGAGCACAGCCCCGTCACCTTCTTCGACACGCCTCCCATGCTCTTCGTCTTCATCGCTCTGGGTCGCTGGCTGGAGCATGTAGCCAAGGTGGGGGCTGCGCTTATACCTCATATCACCACTTTATGACGTGACGAGGACGATATGCAAGGCCGTGCATTATGTCAGTGACTTTGGAACATGAAGCACGGTGTTGAAGAACAGGTGTATCCTGCTTTTGCACCCATGAGCACAGAATCTAACCTAAATTGCCTTGCTAAAATATAAACATTAAAAGTATAAAAAATGTAAAGTTATTAGAGGTCAGTTAAGCACACTCTAGCAAACAAGTCATGAAAGACAGTTGAATTGAGTCAAAAAAGAGAAACAATGGCAGCACATAAAACAAAGGCTTCCTGTGCCCTTGAGGCTGTGTTCTCCTGTGGGCGGGGCTCTCACAGTGCTCTGACAGGGGGGGGCGGAGCAGCATATGCAGCCTCTGACAGCCTGTCGCTTCCTTCAATTCAAACAGACACATCAGCTTGTGTTGAACAGATGATCTAAGAAAACTGTCATGTTAATATTTTTTACTTCATGGGATGGATCTTGTCTGATGGAAAATGCGGAAAATGTTTTTTTCCTACATGAAATAGTTGGCAACTGAAAGGCGAAGTTTCAGCAGAGCACTATTATTTGTACACAGATATATTCAAACTTCAGCCCATTGTACTGACATTTTTTTTTCTTCAATTTTTTTTATTTTTTCAAGGATATAGTAGCAGCTTTCTGTGTATATTTTGGCTGCTGAGTTCATTTGCTGATGTTTTGTCTGGTAATTGCATAATTTAATCCTTTTTAGCTTCTTGTTTCTTTCACCAAGGGCAGGGTTGCCAACTTGGGTCAGCTGGCTCGCGTGAGATTTTCAATTTGAGACAAGTCTACACATGCATACACACGCATTTATATGTATGTAACAGTTTTATTACCTTGTTAATGGTCTGTAAGGTTTGCAAATTACCCCAACACTTGATGTAGGTCATTTTAGGCTTATAATGGAATAATATAGTTTTTGCGTCAGATTTCTTGCGTGAACGTGAGAATACGAAAGCGTGAGGGTCATGCCAGGTGCGTGAAAGTTGGCAACCCTACCAGGCTAGCATCTTAGTGAGTGATCAGTGGCATGACCCTCTGCTAGTCAGTGAGCTGTGATGCTCTCTACCACAGAGCAAGACATCAGAGGCCCTGGCCAAGCTGATGTCCCTACAGGCCACTGACGCCACAGTGGTGACGCTGGGCACAGACAACTCCATCCTGAGGTGAGGGTGCCTCGCATGTGTGAGGGCAGGCCTTCCTCTGTGTGTGTGTGTGTGTGTGTATGTGTGTGTGTGTGTGTGTTGGTGAGGGTGCCTCGCATGTGTCAGGGCAGGCCTTCCTCTGTGTGTGTGTGTGTGTGTGTGTGTGTGTTGGTGAGGGTGCCTCGCATGTGTCAGGGCAGGCCTTCCTCTGTGTGTGTGTGTGTGTG